AATGCAGCAGAATACATTTTCTTCTGAAGTGCACATGGAACTTTCTCAAGGTTAGACCATATATTGGAATACAAAACAAGTCTCAAGAAATATAGGAAGATTGAAGCCATATCCAGTATTTTTTCGAATCACAGTGGTTTCAACTACCAAAAAAGCTGGAAAAATCACAAATACGTGGAGAATGAACAACATGCTACTGAGCAAGTGTTGGGTCAACAAAGAAATCAAAGGAGAAATCAAAATTTACTTGAAGACAAGTGGAAATGAAAATAAAGACAAACCAAAATCTGTTGGAGGCATCAGACACAGTACTAAGAGGGAATTTTTTAGCAATTCAGGCCTACCTCAAAAAAACAAGAAAAACCTCAATCTAACCTTACAGCTAAAGTAACTTGGGGAAAAAAAAAGAAAGAAAGAAAAGCCAAGCCCAAAATCAGTAGAAGGAAAGAAATGGTAAAGATCTTAGTGGAAATAAATAAAATGGAGACTAATAAGGCAAGAGAAAAGATCAATGGAACTAAGAGCTGGTTCTTTGAAAAGATAAAATTGACAAAGCTTTAGCTAGACTCATTCAGAAAAAAAAGACAATGCTCTGGAAAATAAAATTAGAAATTAAAGGGGAGAAATAACAATGGATACCACACAAATACAAAGGATTATAGCAGAATATTATGAACAGCTATATGCCAACAAATTGGTTAACTTAGGAGAAATGAGTAAGTTCTTAGCATCATACAAGCTTCCAAGACTGAGTCATGAATAAACAGAAAATCTGAATAGACCAAATCACTAATACAGAGATTAAAACATTAATCCAAAAAGCTCCCCAGGCCCGGACAGCTTCATAGGTGAATTCTACCAAACATTCAAAAAAGATTTAATGCCTGTTCTCAAACTCTTCTTAAAAATTGAAGAGGAAAGGAATGCTTCCTAACTTATTTTATGAGGCCAACATCACCCTGATACCAAAGTCAGGCAAAACCAACACACTAAAAGAAAATTACAGGCCAATATCTCTGATGAACATAGATGCAAAAATCCTAAACAAAATATTAGCAAGCCAAATAAAACATTAAAAGAATCATCACCATGATCAAGTAGGATTTATCCTAATGATGTCAGGAGGTTTCAACATCCGCAGATCAATCAACATGATACACCACATAAACAAAAAGTATGAAAACCGTATGATTATCTCAATAGATGCAGAAAAGGCATTTGACAAGGTTCAACACCCATTTATAATAAAAACTCTCAACAAAATCTATATAAAAGTAAAATACCTCAACATAATGACGGTTGTAAATGACAAATTACATCTAACATGACACTCAAAGGTGAAAAACGAAAAGCTCTACCTCTAACACTGGGAATAATACAACGATGCTGACTCTTGCCACTCTTATTTCTCATAGTATTGAAAGTCATAGCAAGAGCAATTAGGCAACAAAAAGGAATAAAGAAATACAAATTGGAAAGGAATAAGAAACTGTCACTATTATGGATGACATGATTTTATGTATAGAAAATCATAAAAAACTCCACTAAAAAACTATCAGAAAAAATAAATAATGGCAAAGTTGCAGAGTACAAAATCAACATACAAAAATCTGTTGTTTTGATACACTAACAATGACCTAGAAGAAAGAAATTAAGAAAACAATCCTATTTACAATCACAACAAGAATAAAATACCTGGGAATAAATTTTATTGAGATCAAAGACCTGAACACTGAAAATTATAAGACATTGTTGAAAGAAATGGGAGACACATAAGTTGAAAAATACTGTGTTTATGGGTTGGAAAAATTAACACTGTTAAAGTATCCATATTACCTAAAGCAGTCAACAGATTCAGTGCAATCCCTTTCAAAACCACAAGGACATTTTTCATAGAAACAGAACAAACATTTCTAAAATTTTTATGGAACCACAAAAGACCCCATATAGCCAAAGCAATCCTGAAAAAAAGGAACAAAGCTGGAGGTATCACATTCCATGATTTCAAACTAGACTACAAAATTATGCTAATCAGAACAGCATGATATTGTGAGAAAAAGATCCATAGATCAGTGGAACAGAATTGAGAGCCCAGAAATAAACACATGCATACATGTACAATTAATATACAACAAAGGAGCAATGAACTCACAATGGGAATAGGATAACCTCTTCAATAAATAGTGTTGGGAAAACTGGACAGCCCCATGCAAAAAAATGAAACCAGACCATTATCTCACACCATACATAAAAATCAGCTCAAAATGGATTAAAGACTTAAACATAAGACATGAAACTGTAAAACTCTTTGAGGATACCATAGGAAATAGACTCTTTGACACTGATCTTAGCAGTATCTTTCTGGATATGTTGATTCAGGCAAGGGAGACAAAAGCAAAAGTAAACAAATGGGACTACATCATCCTAAAAAGCTCCTGCAGTCTAATCTAATTAAATCTGGGTGTCTGTAGATTTTTTAAAAGTTGTGGTAAAATACACATAACATAAAATTTACAGTCTTTATCTAAAGTATATAGTTCAGCAGTGTTAAGCATATTCACGTTGCTATGCAACCAATTTGCAGAACCTTTTCATCTTCCAAAAGTGAAACTATTCATTAAACAACTTCCCACCTACCCCCTACCCCACCAACAAGCTCCTGGCATACACCATTCTACTTTCTATTTCTGTGAGTTTAGCTACTCAAGATTCTTCATATAAGTGGACTCATACATTTTTTTTTTTTGTAACTGGCTTATTTGGCTTTCCATAATTATCTCAAGTTCCATCCACAGTGATTCATATGTCAGAATTTCCTTCCTTTTTTTATTGTGGTAAAAAGTACATAACAAAATTTACCATCTTAACCATTTTTAAGTTTACAGCTCAGTAGTGTTAAGTTTATTTACATTGCTGTAAAAGAGAACACCAGAACTTTTTTGACTTGCAAACCTGCAACTCTGTTTATTAATAATAACTCCTACTGATTCCTAACCCTGGGCCTTGGTAACTACCATTCTACTCCATGTATCTATGAATTTGACTACTTTAGATACCTCATTTAAGAGGAATCATTCAATAATTATCCTTTTGTGACTGGTTTATTTCATTTAGTATAATGTCCTCAAGGTTCATCCATGTTGTAACGTGTAACAGGATTTCCTTTCTTTTTAAGGCTCCAGTTTGCTCCATTGTATGTATATAGCATGTTTTGTTTATTCACTTGACATTTGGGTTGCTTCTACTTTACTACTATTAATATGGGTTTATAAATACTTTTACAAGACCCTGCTTTCTGTTCTTTTGAAGATATACCCAGAATTGGGATTGCTGGATTATATGGTAGTTCTGTTTTTAATGTTTTGAGGAACCCCCACATTGTTTTCTGTAGTATTTTTACAGTCCCACCAACAGTGTACAGAAGTTCCAACTTCTCCACCTCTCAGACAACACTTGTTATTTTTTTTCCCTTCCCTTCCCTTGTCTCCCCTTCCCTTCCCTTTCTTCTCATTCTTCATTCTCTCTTTTTCTCTCTTTCTCACTTTTTCTTTCTTTCTTCCATTTACCCCCCACCTACCTATGTATCTATCTTTACTCTTTTTAAGTAAATGTGAATTTAAGAAGTACAGACATACCTTAGAGATATTGTTGGTTTGGTTCCAGACTACCATAACAAAATGAATATTGTAATAAAGTAAGTTGCACAAATTTTTTGGTTTCACAGTGCATATAAATGTTAGGTTTACATTACACGGTAGTCTTTTAAGTGTGTAATAGCATTATGTCTAAAACAACAATTTACATACCTTAATTAAAAATACTTCATTTCTAAAAACTGCTAACCATCATTCTGAGCCTTTAGAAGTTGTATTATTAACATCAAATATCATTTATCACAGATCACCATAACAAATACAATAATAAAGAAAAAGTTTGAAATATTGTGGAAATAACCAAAACATAGAGACATGAAGTGAGCAAATGCTGTTGGAAAAATTTCATCAATAGACTTGTTTGATGCAGAGTTGCCACAAACCTTCAATTTGTAAAAAATGCAGTATCAGTGAAGTGCAATAAAGTGAAACTTGATAAAACGAGATACGCCTGTACTCACAGTGCTATCTTGGCTGAAAGCTAATATTTTTGTCTTTAAAAGATCACTCTTGTTACTACAGGGTTAATATATGAAGTATGGAAGCTTTGCTAGAGTAGATTTCTGGTGCTTGATCTAAAACCTGGTGCTCACTTTTAGAAATAATGAACATATAGTGTATATATGGGCATAGTCTAGTTTTAGGTAAAATGTTCATTTCATACTTTATGAAAATAATTAAAATTAATTTTATGATATATTTTTGAGAAAATATAACATCAGTTTTTAAATTGTTTCAAAACAAAAAAAGATTTAGCAAATTATCAGGAAGAAAAGACCAGTTATGAAGAACTTTAGGTGAAATTTCATCATAGTCAAGAGAATTCAGCATGATCTGAATCTCAAACATTGTAAGATTATTTTGATATTTTTATAGTACCATTTTTTCTTATTTGAGTGTATCTATGTGTCTGCATTTAAATAATGCAGGAAATAATAAAATATGTGCCATTCGTCCTGATTAATGTTGAAATAAATGAGCTCATTTTTTGTTCATGTAATTAACAACTTTTTTATTTTACAATACTTTCTTTTTTATTTTAATTTTAATTTTAATAAGTAAATTTCTATATAGGTTTTCAAGTTTATTTGTTTTAGATTCTTAACTTTCACCAGGAAGTCGTGATAGTTTTACAGTTTCTGAAAAAAAAGTAACCTATGGCTGGTGTGAAAGTTACTGATTGTACTAAAAATTTTATAATTTAATGAAAACAAAAAAGTAAAATTTAAAACCCTACCAAGTTTTCACTGTCATTTTGTACATTATTTAGTTAAATATAACAGACTATTAATTTTATTTATTTGATATTTATTATATTTGATTGTGATAAAAGTACTCTTCTTTTAGGCCTTTGAAGACAGTTTAATTGAAGCAAAGAAAGAAATTGAAGTGTCACAGAGTAAATATAATGCTCTGTCATTACAGTTGAATAATAAACAGACTGAACTTATCCAAAAGGATATGGATATCACTTTGGTCAGGCAAGTATACTCAATCATTAATTTAACATTATAGAAATGTCCTTAATCAGAATGTCAGCATTTTTGTTTATTATCAGCACCCCAAAATGACAACAGTATGTCTTCTGTGAGTACTTATGTTTGTGCATTGAAATTACCTGGAATTGTATATTCATGTATGACTGAAAAATTGTGCTGTACAACAGAAATTGACACAACAATGTAATCTGACTATAACTCAAAATAAATAAATAAGTAAATAAACAAACAAACAAACAAATAAATTTAAAAAACAAAAAGAAACTACCTGGAGTTATATACACCACACTGGGAATAGTTAACTGGGAAAGTCAGGAGTTTCACAAAATTGGGAAAAGTGTGCTCAAAGATTTCTTTTTTTTTTTCCAAGCAGGAAGCATCCTGTATTGTTCCTTTCAGTTCTCAGTCTTTTTCTTTTTTTTAACATTTTTTATTGATTTATAATCATTTTACAATGTTGTGTCAAATTCCAGTGTAGAGCACAATTTTCAAGTTATAGATGAACATATGTATATTCATTGTCACATTTTTTTTTCTGTGAGCTACCATAAGATCTTGTATATATTTCCCTGTGCTATACAGTATAATCGTTTTTATCTGTTCTACAATTTTGAAATCCCAGTCTATCCCTTCCCACCCCCTGCCACCTTTTTTATTGAGTTATAGTTGTTTTACAATGTTGTGTCAAATTCCAGTGTAGAGCACAATTTTTCACTTATACGTGAACATACATATATTCATTGTCACATTCTCTTTTGCTGTGAGCCGCCACAAGATCCTGTATATATTTCCCTGTGCTACACAGTACAATCTTGTTTATCTATTATACATTTTTTGTTTCAGTTTTTAACAAGGCTGATGCATTCATTTATTGTTTGCTTCTAAAATTCCTACCTGTGTGTTATATATATAATATTTATTATTATTATAATGAACAATAAAGAGTAATCCAATTTTGACTTTTTATTTTGGTATGTTCTAAGTAGTTTTAGTTTGTGAAATTTTTTTTCTATATCAAAATACTTACTTTTGTAATATTACTCATAAAGTGGAAGTACTTGAAAAACTTGTGTTTTTAAGTATTTTGAAAGATATTAAACTATATATTTTATAATTATCTTTATCAGAAAATAGTGTTTGAATAAATCATAAATATATATACATATACATACATATGTTATACATATATAAACATATATGTATGTATGTATATAAACTTTTACACTTAAGCTATTTAAAATAAATCATACAATTAAAATTTATCACATACCTGTATAAGCACAGTTTCATTCTCTGGTGCTACCCATATAAATATGTCATATATTTATATATGTAATATACTGTATATAAATGTTATGTTTACATATGATATATAATTATAATTAACATCATATATAATTGTGACATATATAAATGTAAATACTTAAATATTTATTTATATATGTATTTAGTGTATTGCAAGATTTATATATCAGGGCAGAATTTTTGTTTGAGTAACAGATTAATATATATTATATATATGTATTTTAAAGCAAAAATCCATTGTGTCACATACCCATAGGGGTAAAGAAAAGTGTAAACTTTACAGATATATAGTGGTTGACTTATTTACTCATGGTATAATTTTTTTTAAGCCAATAGTTTGATGAAGTCAGAAAACTAATTCTGAATAGTAATAGAATCTTAGTTCTAGAAGAAATCTTAAAATTATCATTTATTCCTAGCTTTTCCCCAATAAAAAAGCTTTTAATCTTTGCTTGATGCTTTTAGTTTTTAAGTTTTTCAGTACTTTTTAGGATTTAAAAAAAATTCATATTGTTTAAATTTGTACACTGTTACATATATTTAGTTGAAATTTACGTTTTTGCAATATCCACCCATTTATGTTGGTTCCTTATCTAGAGAATCTGAGACACTCTAATATATACACATTTGGTAGATATGAGATCAGTGTATAAAATTCAGCTGCATTTTCACTATGGCCAAGATGGCATAGTAAAAAGACCCTAAATTCACTTCCTCGCACAAGCACCCCAAAATCACAACTATCTTTACAACAGCCATCAGTGAAAAAGACCAGAACCTACCAGAAAAGATGTTCTACACCTAAAGAAATAAAGAGGGAACCACAGCGAGACCAGTGAGAGGTGGACTTGTGATATAATCAAATTCCATACCCCTCCAGGTGGGCAACCCACAAACTGGAGAATATAGTACAGAGGTTCTCCCACAGGAGCAAGAGTTCTGAGCCCCATGGCAGGCTCCCCAGCCTGCGGGTCTGGCACCGGGAAGACAAGCCTCTAGAGAATTTGGCTTTACAGGCCAGTGGGGCTTAATTGAAGGAGCCTCACAGGACTAGGGCAAGTAGAAACTTCACTCTTGAAGTGAAGTCTCACACATACTGTGACACAGAGCAGAAGAAATAATTTGATAGGCGCCTAGCCGGGGCTTACCTGCTTGTCTTGGAGAGTCTGCTGGAGAGGGAAGGGGCAGCTGCAGCTCATTCTGGGGACATAGACGCTGGTGGAGAACATATTGGGGAACATTTAGCTGCATGACCATTGCTACTGTGGCAGCTGATGTATTGGATCATTAGCTCCAAGACCTGGCCCATTCAAAAGTCTGCAGGTGACAGCGCTGGACACCTCAGGCCAAAAACTAACTGGGTTTTTGGGTTTAACTAACAGCTCCACCCATTAGCAGATGAGCTGCCTAAAGAGTAGGAAGCCCACAGCTGCCTCTGGGCTTGCCCCTAGACATAGCCCAGCCTACCAAAGGGCCAAGACCCAGCTCCACTCACCAGTGGACAGAAACCTCCCATCAGGAAGCCATACCAAGCCTCTAGACCAGCCTCATCTACCAATGTGCAGACATTAGAAGCAAGACAACTACGATCTCACAACTCAAGCCAGACCCTACCCTGGGACCAGGTGGGCCCTAGCCCGGCATACTAGTAGACCGATGCAACCTTCAGGACACCCTGGACCTCATACCCACCTAGACCCAACAATCTGAAACAGGCTCTGAATTGCTAGGCCCTGCAGTCAGGCTCCAGGAACCAGCTGTGACTGCCAGTAGACTGCCAGGATCTGGCTTTACCGCCAGTGGGTGGGCAGTAGCCCCAAAGTCTTTGGGACCCTGACTCTGCCCATCAGTGAGCCAGCACTAGCCCCAAGGGCCCCATAGGGTTCTGCAATCAGTTACCTCGTGACCAGGCCTTGCTAAACAGCAGCCAGCAGCATTTGCACAATGCAAAACCTGACAACCACCCAGATTAAGAGCCTGCCAGACCACCCACATAGGCAGCCCATCACAATAGGACTCACCCAGCCCTCTTAGGGTGAAACCCTGGAGCATATAGCTTGGGTGACAAGAGGGGAATGCACTGCTGGGACACATAGGACACCTCCTACAGAGGGCACTTCTCCAAGGTCAAGAAAGTATCTAACCTACCACATACATAAAAATGCAAGTAGCAACTTAGATAAAATGAGGTAGCAAAGGAATGTGTTTCAGACAAAGGAATAAGAAAAAACCCCAGAAGAAGAACTAAGTGAAGTAGAGATAAGCAGTCTACCTGAGAAGGAGTTCAGTGTGATAATCATAAAAATGATCAAAGAACTCAGGAGGAGAATGGATACACAGAGCAGGAAGTTAGAAGTTTTTAACAAAGAGTTAGAACAAAGAGTTAGAAAATATAAGAAACAACTCAAGAGAGATGAAGAATACAATAACTGAAATAATATATACCATGGCTGTGTATTGTATCCTAATCTGGAAGTGGTACAAGGAGACAAATGTGCTAGGCATGCAGCTGGTTGACCTCAAGTGATAGAACCACATGAGCTGTATAGATATTATAGGCTGAAGTGGTAGTTAATAGTATGAGGCAGAGCATGGGACTGAGAGTGGCAGGTGACACTGAATCTGAAAAGGTATATAAGGTGTATCTAATATAACAATAAATATTTAATAGGCTATAGGAACTATGCTAGGTGCTCTCTTTATAGCAATGAGCAAAAAAGTCCCTACCTTCATAGAAGTTTTTATTATCTCCACATCTTTGCTTTCTATTGAGATAACTCAAAGAGGTGAACTTATTTCTTTTACTTACATTTTCGAGACCTTACTTAGGTCTAGAAATTATAGGAATATAATTTCTATAACTATAATTATATTCCTATGATTCCTTCAGTAACTCCTACTGAGGTATACTTTCCTTCTGAATATGCACAAGGAAATTTCTTTTTTCTTAATTCTAAGTACTCCTTTTAAATAAGTCCTGTTTCTTTTTCTTTACTCATTTTCAAGTGAAGAAAGGTCTACACAAATTCAGTGTTTTCCAGTGGTCCAGATCTGTGAGTTTCCAAAGCCTAGTTTGTTGTTTACTTTTGATACTGGTCAAGTTCCACTTTCATATTTATGACATTGTACATTTCATCTCATCTAGTTTTCAAAGAGTGCTGTGAGGAGACACATAGAAAGAAACATACCTACATAGTATAAAATTATGCTTCCATTCCACTCACTGAGATGAGAGTATGCTCAGAAAATAGCAGAAGACGAGAGTAAAGAATATGCTTTTCCCTTGGTTGATTTTTAATTCCCAAGTGTCTCATATTATGAGCACCTCCCAACTCCTGTGTGTTTCTTCTGATTAAAGATATATTTTGTTCTAAATGACCCTTAAATCCAAGCCAATTACTGGTTCTGGCCCTCTCTTTAAGAAATAATATCTTCTAGCATTGCAAGAGAAATATGTTTTCTGTGTTTTGCATTGTATTAGATGATGGTATGTTGTATTTTCACCACGTCCCCTTTCTAAATGCAACATTTGCTTAGTTCTCCTGGCTAACATGTGTCTTGACTATTATGCTGATGGAATTTTATTCTACGTCTTTTGCTGATCTCCTTTGATAATTCATGCCAGTATTATTCTTAAAAAATGGCAGTACTCAGCAAGCATCATTACTATAGGTCTCTTCTCTCCTTTTTCTTGTATTACATTTCCTCCAGGCATTGTGCCATTATTGATTCTCTTCTTTCTCTTCCCCCATTTTTGGACTATTATTATCTGCAGGTTTCAGTTTTTTTGCATAATTACAGGAAAAAGTGTTATAGTCTGAATGTTTGTGTCCATCCAAAATTCATAGGTTGAAATTCTAATGCCAAATGTGATGGCATTAGGAGGTGGGACCCTTAGGGAAGTGCTTCCATTGTAAGGGTAGAACCCACATGAATGGGAATAGTACTCATGTCAAAAAGACCTCCCAGAGCCCCCTAGTGCCTCCCACCATGTGAGGATGTAACATGAAGTCTATGACCTGGAAGAGGGCCCTCACTTGACTATGCTGGCACTCTGATTTTTGACGTCTAGCCTCCACAACTATGAGAAATAAATTTCTGTTTTTTGTGAACTGCTTAGTCTGTGATACTTTGTTACATCAAAAGGATTAAGACAGATGATATATGTACATGTATCTGTGTGAGTTCAGAGGTTGCTGTTGTGTCTGGAGAACATTAATATTCTACACCTCTGAAAAAGCAGAGCTCATTTGTCCCATATTAATATACATCCACCTTCAAGAACTGCGTATCTTTTTTGTTTCTTCTGTTTTTTAAGTTTTATCTTATGTGATTGAATCACTAGATTGAGGTTATAGGTAAAGTTCCATTAAATAATAGTCTCCAAAATATATAAAAATAGTCTCCAAAAACAGTCTCCAAAATATACTATAAAGTATATTTCTGTGAAATACATCTCTGTAAATATTTTTCCCTTCAAGTTGATTTTATGAAATATTTTCCAGTTTTGTGTGATCTGTATCACACAGGATTCACCACTACAGGAATCTGGAAACCTCTATCCCAGAGGTGTGGTTTTGTTAGACCTTAGTGCCATCAGTACTATCACCACAATTCATTTGACCTCCTACTTACGAAGTTCACGCCGGGTGGGTTGGAAGGACTGATTTCACGTTGTATTGCTCTCTTGCCTTCTGACTTGTTTGCTTCATCATTTCCTTCAAGCTGGATTAGAGGAATCACAGGGATCCCAACCCAGGTTGCTTTAAGGAACTTTAGTGATTTAAGAAACTTTGGCTTGAAAAGTTAATTTGCCTTTTGGGATTCTTTTTAATACTTACAAATAGTTCCATATAATATAAAATGAAAGGTTGAGTTACCCTGTGTTCAGAACTGTCTGCTAAGTATTGTTGGCATCAGTGCTCATCAATTCATGGAACTGAAGTTTAACTTAATTTCAGTAAGAAGGTGGTACTATGTCTGTATATCTAGGATTTTTATTAATATCAAGCTATAAAAGAAAATTGATAAGTATTTGGCTTTGAAAGTCATAGTAGTACTATCAGTACTTTTTAGGTGTATGTGATAAATATTAAATACTTTGTATGTTATTTCTCTTATTAATATGTTTGCTACAGTAAAAAAATAATAGATGAAAAAATTCAAAGCCGATCTATAACCTTAGATGAACACAATTATTTAACTGAGATGATCTTTATGCATGCTTCTCCCTATTTATTGCTTGCTTTGCACAGGAAAGAGTTGCAGGAGCTGCAGAATCTTTATAAACAGAACAGTGCACATACAGCACAGCAAGCAGAACTGATCCAGCAACTTCAGGTTCTGAATATGGACACACAGAAAGTGCTGAGGAACCAGGAAAATGTTCATACAGCTGAGAGTATATCATATCAAAAAGTATGCTTTTATTTTGTCATAAAAATGTAAATTTATATGTATGAGCTTATAAAAATATATAGAATTCAAATTTTCACATTTCACCATTTCTTTATGTTGTTTCTTCAAAATTAAAAATGAAATATGATTCAGTCTGATAATATCTAGAATCATGTGCATTTTCTTTATGCGGTTGTTAAAGCTGAAACATTTTAAATATATATGCAAATTTATCCTGTAGGATATTGTTTTTATAAACTGGAGTTTCGATACTACTATGAAATACACTAGGACTGTAGCGTCCCAACCAGGAAGGATTTGGGGAATGGGATTATTCAGCCTTCTATAATGAAAACTTATCTGTCAAGTATAATTTTACTTTATGACCTAAAGCAGTCTTTTATTATGGAATTTGTGCATTATTTTATTGGTAAATCTGCACAAACACAAATAGGTATGTTGATGAGGTCTTCAGGATCAATATTTTCCAAGGATTTTCCCCTCTTTATTTTTGTGTGTTTCTTTTAGTAGTCATTTTACTTTACACTTGTTTTAGGAGCTTCTCAAGAAGGCGTACCAGGTATTCTGACTGACTCAGCAGCAATAATTATAGCTAGTGATTAAAAAAACACTTACTGAATTCTTTATGTTTTGTGTAGTGTACTAAGTTATTTATAGAAGTAATTTACTTTCTACATAGGTCAACCATATGAGATTGATGTTATTTCCTCTTAGTAACTGAGGCAGCCAAGGCTGAGAGAGGTTAAAAAGTGAAATCTATGTTATATGGGGTTTTTTTCTGTTTAAACTTACTCTTCTCCTAAAGAAGCACTATGAAAATTCAACATCCATAAATAATATGAAATAAATAACTATTAAGTGAACTTTAAGCACATGTTTTTAAATGATGCTTTGGAACAGTGATTTTTCAACGTAAATTCTGTGTTCCCTTCAAGTTTCCCCAGGACTTGGATGATACCAAGCATTAGGGCAGTGCCTATCCTCTCCACTTTGAATAAAGCAGCTCTATCTTTTTGTTTTATACAGTGGGGTTTCTTGTTATGCTTTTGTTGCTAAACCAGACTCCACCGCTAAAATGACTTGAGAAACTGGACCTTACTAATAACTTTAATTTTTTTTCTCTTTTTTACTTGTATATTTATTTAACTCAAACATTTCTCCCTCTGTCTTAATTTTTGCTTGAAACTCCCCAACCCATGACAATTTATATTAAAATGTGACTTATGGCTGCTTGTTATTAACGTTCATAACTCTTTTCTCTCATGTGCTGATACTTTTTCTATTTCTCTTCTCAGCAAGAAAGAACTTGGTAAGGTGAAAGAAAAAGACAGTATTTCCCTTGGTGTTTCCCTTTTCAGTCTTTTATTCTAAGATTCCTTTTACAGCCTTGATTAACCCAAAATTTAAGATAAATTGTTTCAGCCTTAATTCTGCTTTTTGGTTGATTCTTAATAGCCTCTGCAGAGAGCAGCCATCTTTTTTATAATCTACCTGAAGACTTTTATAGATTTACTATCATTTCAAGCAACTGAATACTTAAACATTTTTATTTAAAGTGATTGTCACCAAAGTGGTACATGCCTGTTGTGGTAAATTTTCAAATAATACAGACTGTATAAAAAAATTAATTTTTCTGCTCTCCTGCCTGAAGCCCTTGCCCCAGACGTTCCACTCTTAGTATTTGACAGTATATCCTAGAGTTCTTCTAGGAAACAGAGTATTTTTAAATTACTTCTTCTTTTTTTTAATTATACAAAAATTACATGAATATGTTGTTATAGAAATTGAAATGATAGAGAAGTACTGATAATGCTAATCTAACAGAGTTGTGTTCCATTTTACTCATCCCAGTTCATTTCATTCCCCTCCCCAGGGGTAATCATCTGAGTAGTTACTTCAGCCCTTTTCCATGCAATATATACTGTGTGTTTACATACATGCATATCACACATCTAGGCATCTGACTTTTTAATATTAATTAATTTATCCTATATTTATTTTTTTACTTTTTTAGAGTTACATTTATGTTTTTTAGAGTTACATTAATATGCCTTGGGTATATTTCCATGACTGTACGTATAGCTCTTGCTCTCCTCCTCCTCCTCATCCTCCAACAGAAACGTATGAAGTACAGGTGGATTTACCAGAGTGTAAGTTGATGATTACTAAGCACTCCCTCCCCAACTTTTTGTTATTATAAACTTGCCTACAGAAGGAGGTGTTCCCCATCTCTCCTATAGCATTAATTTTTCACTACTGGATCATTCTCTTGCTAAAGAGTAGGTTATCGTCTCACACAGGAAAGAATTCAAGAGCAAGCCATACTGAAGTGAAGGCAAGTTTATTTAGAGAGATACACATACCATAGACAGAATGCAGTCTGTCTCACTTACCAGCAACACTTGTCACAGTTGATGGCGCTCTCCCTTAAAACACTTTTTTTCCTCCTTGTTTGCAGCACATCACAATTGTGTGGTTTTCTTCCTTCAGTTTCTAGCTGTTCCTTTTCTGGTTTTTGTTTTTGTTTTTGTTTTTGTTTTTTTACCTCGTCTTCTTCAGTTGGCCTGTCCTCTAAATGTTAAAATGTTCCAAGCCAAAATCTTAGGCACTCTTTTTCCTCTGTTCAAATTCATACACTAGGTGATTTTATCCTCCCACCTAGGCTTTCAAAATCATGCTATCTATATGCTGTTGACTCCCAAATTTGATTATCTACTTTGGATGTCTTCCTTGAACTCTAGGAAAGTATATCTAATTGCATACTTAGCATCTCTTAACTTGGATGCCTAAAGGGCATCTCAAACTTCACGTGTTTTAAACTAAGCTATGTCAGTTTTGCCTTCACCATGTGTATGGAATCCTACTACTACTCACCACCCCTGCTGTGACCACTAACTTGTATTACCTGAATGATTACAAGAGTTTCCCACTTTGATTCTTTGCTCCTGACCTTACTCCGTTTGAGTTCATTCTCAGCATAGATGCCAGGATGTTCTTGCTGAAACTTCGTAAGTCAAATCAAGTCACTCCTCTCTTCAACTCCTTCCATTGGTTTCCTGTCTCATTTAGTAGAAGCCTAAGTTCTTACTATAATCTGTGAGACTACACGATCTGGCTCCGCATTACCTCCCTGGTCTCATCCTTGCGTTCTCTTCTCCTTAGTCCCTCCACTTCAGCCACATTTAACTTTTTCTCATTCAACATACCAAGTATTCTGCAACCTCAAGGTCTTTGCACTTGCTTCCACTGCTTGGTATCTCTTAACCCACTTGTCTGCATAGATGACCTTTTTACCGCCTTTACTCTTCACCTCTCAGAGCTTAAAATCTTGTTGATAGCAGACAGTAAATAGGAGGTGTAAGAATGATATATATTCTAATAGTAGCAGGATGTATGGGAATATAGCTGGAGCAGGTTTCTAGGTTAAGGATAAAAAAATGACTCTCCATAATGAAATGATGTCAGTGATGTTTATTCTAAGATAAGAAGACATCAGTGAGACAAATTTGTTTCTCATAACTCCTCTATATGAACTCTAGCTGAAACCAGAATTCCCTAGTGACTGCACTAAATTTGGAGAGGTAGAACTTATATATTCCTATTTGGACAACTTGTCATATAGCCTGAACTTTGATTAGGGATACTTTTTGAAACCACATAAACCTATCCCCAAGATCATCCACTCCAAGAATCATTATCTGTAATGAGGGATATGATGACAATATGTTGTGCTTATGAATATCATGGATGCAAAAAGGAAAAAAAAGTAAACAAATCTCCTGCTTTAGAGAACTGGCTTGCTTTTCCTTGTATTGCTCTATTTTTTGGTTCTCTTTTTCTCTTCACTTTGAACTCCCTTTTCTTTCTGTTTGTTCTTCAGAAGTTGCCTCTCAAGGGGCAGGAGGTTGGAGGGGAGAACTTCACTGATTTTTAATTTGATACTCATTCTGAAATGGTAATTCTCATTGTAATATTTTAATTTTGATGTTATTTTAGATCCTTGTAGTTGTTAATGAAGTTTTCATTGGTATGTTTAACTGGACTTAATTCAAAAGTCCTTGAGTATTTATTTACATTATAAATTTTGCCTGCAGTTAGTAGATATTACAGTTAATGTTTCTTTGGTAATCTACGTACAAATAGTTACCCATAAAAACACAGGAAAAAAAACCTTTGTAATTCCATCTCTCAGAGGGAAATACCATTAACATTTTGAATATTTCCTTTCAGATTTTTAAATACATTTTAACATATCTGTGAAGAGCCTAGTATCTCTCAATTCACATTATATTAAAACAATATCACAACATACAACTATTTTGGAAATAGTAATATAATTTATTTAACCATGTTTTCATTGTTGATCACATATGCTGTTTAAATATTTCACCATTGTAAATAAAGCTGCAATAAATATCTCTTTCATGTCAGTTTAGACTATTAGTGTTAGTATTAGAGAATATTGAACATGTATACACACACACTCACAGATATCCCCAGGAAACAATTCTTTTTACGAAAAAGCTAGTGACATTATATTAATTTTGTGCAAGTCACTCTTAATTAGTTCATACATAAAGATAGCCTGTTTAAGTTATTAAATTGTAAGAAAACACAAGGGATAATGGAGTTTGAAGGAGACCTGCCTACCACATGAAAAATGATCAATAAATGTTAAGTTATTGAACTTTGGGGACTTATGTACAACACTATCCCATTTAATATAATAATGCAATTTAAAAATCATAGATGTTTATCTGAATTGTTGTAGTATTTTTTAACTTTATAGGCATATATTTCTGTCTTAATTTAAAGATTATTCTAGTCCATTTAATTTTTAACTATTTGGCTGAGTAGGTTCTGGAGTGGTATAAAAATGTGGAAGAACTAAGAATACAACTTGGAAGTCCTTCCAGTTGGAACATAATCATAAATAAAGAATATAAAATTATATGATAAACCAGGGAGAATCTGTGTTTACATTTTCACACATTATTTTA